CCGCTTGTCGGAGAGCCCGGTGCACCGCCGCGGCTCCTTCCCGCTGGCGGGAGCCGCCCCGTCGCAGGCGCCGCCGGCCCCCCTGCCCGAGGAGGCCCGCATGGACCTGAACCCGTCCTTCCTGGGCATCGCCCTGCGCTCCCTGCTGGCCATCGACCTGTGGCTGTCCAAGAAGCTGGGGGTGTGCGCGGGGGAGAGCTCGTCCTGGGGCAGCGTGCGGCCCCTTATGAAGCTGCTGGAGATCTCCGGGCACGGCATCCCTTGGCTGCTGGGCACCCTCTACTGCCTGTGCAGGAGCGACAGCTGGGCCGGGCGCGAGGTGCTGATGAACCTGCTCTTCGCCCTGCTTCTGGACCTGCTGCTGGTGGCCCTGCTGAAGGGGCTGGTCCGCAGGCGTCGCCCGGCCCACAACCAGATGGACATGTTTGTCACCCTCTCTGTGGACAAGTACTCCTTCCCTTCGGGCCATGCCACCAGGGCTGCCCTGGTGTCGAGGTTCATCTTGAACCACCTGGTGCTGGCTATTCCACTGAGGGTGCTGGTGGTGCTGTGGGCCTTCATCCTGGGCCTCTCCAGGGTCATGCTGGGGCGTCACAATGTCACCGATGTGGCTTTTGGCTTTTTAATGGGCTACATGCAGTATAGCATCGTGGACTACTGCTGGCTCTCACTGCACAATGCTCCAGTCCTCTTTGTACTGTGGAACCAACAGTGACATCATCTCATTCATTATGGCACCGGGAGATCTAAAGGTTTCCACATGGGATCATGCCGACATAAACCAGCAGCCATCCTGCTTGACATAAACCAGCAGCCATCCGCTTGTCCCCCTTAGGACATTTTAGGCTTCCTTTGGGATTATCAGATGTCCTACCATCTTGATGGGTTGCTAGGCTGTAGTACATGCTGGCCATTACTGATCACAACCATATTACAGAAAGAAAAAAAAATTCCCTCTATTATACATCCAACAACTGTTTTTATCTCTAGGACAACTGTAAAGAAACCAAGCTGGGTTGATTATAATGTTGCAGTTTTGTAAAAGTTAACTTCAGAAAAACTGTGTTTTGTAGTCATCCTATAAGCCAACATATCACTTGTAGACTGAACTTTGAAAAAGAAACAGGATCTTTATTCTGTAAATATACATGCAGATAACCTGCATACTAATCCTAGTTCTTGGTTATTTAAGAGTCTAAGACATAGGTTTTTTCTAGTTTATTCCCTGAAGATCTGTTGCCACAGCTGGGGAGATTTCCTCTTAATCTTGATTTTCTTGGTAAGCATTTTTAGTTTATTGTCTCTTCCACCTTTGCAGATTGGGTAGTGAGAAGAGAGATTATAGTACATATCTTTCTTTCCTTTACCTCCTCAAAAGATCTTAAATTTACATTTACTTCCCACTACTCTAATATTGTCTTTTAGCATTCAGAGAACAAGCCAAGAACTTACTTGAAGAAGAAACACTTAAAGATGGGCACATCTATAGTCAGCATAAAAAAGGGTAGGATAGGTCAATGGCCTCATGGAAAAAAACTAAGCTGCTGAGGAGGTCAGAGGAACTGAAAGTTTAGGGGTAGGGTAACCACATACTATGTTGATGGACCAGTATGGCAAGAGATGGGGTCCTGCTGCCTGTCATCTCTACTGAATAAAGAAAAATGCTCCTCTACTGAGGTAATAAAATGGGAAAGTAATGTGATTCTTTGCAATGCAAAAGCGTAAGCTTTTTCATATATACCACAAGGATGACCTTGTGTATTACTGTTTTTCATATTGAATTCTGTTTCCCCGTATATAGCATACTTTAGGTAACAGTATTTAATTTGAAATTAATCAGGGGAGTCTGCTGCTATACCAGGTACAAGGTACAACTACTAAATTTCCATTGACCTTTACATTTAAAGCAGTTTATTCATGGTGCCTCCCCAAATCACAAGACCAAAGGCCACCAAATGTAGGGTGGACTCTGCTCTTTATTCTTTGGCCAGGAAAGACTGAAAGGGTTTATGTGCTTTAAATGCTTCTCTACCTGAAAATAAGAACTTTTAAATTAACTGTGGAACTGGTGGTGTCTTCAGATAATTTTAATGACCAGTTATTTTGACTTTTATAAATAGAATGTATTATGGCCTTTGATTTGTCATATTAGACGTGCACATAGGAATCTGGAGAATGGCTGTGATAAATAGGCTCTGATTGGGTGGAAACATAAACTTTCTGAGTGTGAGAGGCACACTGAAAGAGGAACAGCTACTTTTCGAAACAAAATAAAATCATTTGCATTCCCCAAACTTTATGAACACAGACTACCTCTTTACTTGCTGAATAACACAAACTGAAGCTGTAAGTGGTTTGCTTTATCATTTAATCTTAAAGAGATTCTTTATATTAATGGCAGCAATATTCAGGCCAGATATTTGGAAGCATAACGTTTCCTCTTACAGTGTCCACAAGTCTGAATATTGGAGGCTCAAAATTAGGCTTACCTTCTGGGTTCGTGGTTATACTTCTGGAATTCCCTTAGTTCCTGGGGCCTAGTTTGCTGGCTTTAAAGCACAGATTAGTTCACCCTGTTTTTGGAGTATCCTAAGTACTGTAGAGTTGAAAACTGATTTCACTGTTAATTACTGTATACTGAGGAATGCCTTTTAAAAATAAAATTAACCAATAATGTTGGATGAAATGAGATGAAAACTTGTTTAATTTCTGCCTTGCTGGAGGAAGACTGATTTATCACTCTGCCTCTCATGAATTCCTCCACATTACTGCACCCGTTGAGAGCTCTCAATTGATACAGCACAGTTGATACAGCCTATTTGCTGTCAAAGTGGGACAAATCCTGGAAATTCTGCTATTTTGTAGCTGCATGAATGATAAAACACTGCATTTATCACTTGGATAGAGGCTAACAAGATTTTCCATAGTCATAACCTGTTTAGCATTTTTGCTTGTAATCATGGCCAGGAGAGAAGGCCCTACAGTTTGTAGGCAAAGCTTCGTGACAGCCTGACACTACAGATGGAAGGATTGCAAAGTGGAAACTAAAATACGAAGAACGACTGACCCCAAACAGGAACAATGGAGTCACTGCCACAGCATCTCACTTAAGCAAGATTCAGTGGATAATTCAGTTGTTGATTGACTGACTTCCCTTTTGGATTAGCAAGCCAGAGCCATTTCTAGGGGAAATAGCGTAGAAAAATATTTGATTGGTTCGTAGAGGTGAAAAATTATCAGGAAATGATGAGGCTTTTTTAAGTAAAATTATAATCTGGTTATTTAAAGGAGAGGGTTTTTAAACCTTTCGCAAATCTTTATCCTGGAAAAGAAAATCCTTGGATTTAATGCAGGGTTATTTTAAAAGAACAGAAAAATTCAGGATAAAGCTAAGAAAGAAGATGGCTTTAAGGGGAGGAAAAGTGGGAAGAGGCTGAGCTGGATTAAAGGTTAGGAAGTCAGGGAAGACCAGTGTAGAAAACCTTAGGGACAGAGGTACTGTTTGTTCCAAAAGATAATGATGTTTGTGTGGTGAGGTGGGAGGGGGGAAGTGAAAACGACCTGGGGCCATTTAAGAACCTGGGGAAAGAGTCTGATTTGGGGGCAAGGAGGGAGAAGTTCGTGGTTCTCTTACCGCCCGGATCTGCAGCTCCACCACCACCTCCAGAGGCATCGTTCCCTGCGTGGGCGAAAGGACCGGAATGACAAGATCCTTTTGTGCTGAGCCTTGGACCGGTCTTTCTTAGTTTAGCTCAATCCCTAGGGCAAACGTCCCCAGCAGCTTCCCCAGCCCCCAC